AAGATGAAGGTATATTTATGTATGACACTACATTTGCACGCAAAATCAAATTTAAAGATTCATACTAAAAAGAAATTTCTCAGATCATTTCCATCTATAAACTAGTACTAGAATAAGAGAGTAACCTATACAAGCAGGCCATGCAATCATTCAAAATATAAACTTGTAATTTGGTTTGATAAAGTATGACATGCTTAGGATACTGCGTTTGATGTGGACATAAGGAGGTGGATCAAATTTATTCTCCAGTAAATCTCTCCATGTCATGTCAAGCTTGAACTCCTCATCCATGTAAGGTAAAGGCAATTGACAGAAAACTTCCTAAAATATAAAAGAGGAAAAAGTTAGCCACTTAAATCAGGAGCCACCAAGCATATTTGACAGAATAGTGTTACCAAACAGGTTTCAATCAAAAGAGCATATGAGTTGGCATGGTATTGATCATTAACTGTCATTTTGCCAATCTAAAAGTGATTCTCGTTGAAAACCAACTGATATACTTCTCATATACTTCCAAGAAAATGAATCAGGTACATCGTTTTTTCTATACTAAATCTCATCGATAAAATCCATATAGTGTGATATAAAATTGAAATTTCACCAATAAACTGTGCAAAAAAAAAAAACTGACCTCTATTCCAGTAGCTGGAACTGCATGCTGCTCATTCAATAAATAAGTCCTGTCAGCCAGCCTAATCAATAGAAAATAAAAACGGAGAGATAAACCTCAAGATAAAACACAATCACACAGTTAAAACTAAATTAGGAAGTCAGGATAACTAAATCATATACAAATCCATACAACCTTTGTAATAAACTAATTGGGCTAGATTTTGAAAGCTTTTAAGGTGCATCAATTATATCAAATGTAAGCATGCACACAAGCGCAAAAGCACAACAGAGAAAAGGCTCGAACTTAAAAAAGGAGCAGGGGATCTTGCATGCAACTCTTAGGTACTGAAGATGAATATGGTCAAGTAACAGATTTCAAACCACACTTGTAACATGTGAGCTAAAAAAGAGCAAGCTCAAACTCAATCTTGTAGGGCATGCATAAAAATTCTCAAGTACAAAACTTTTACTAATATTAAATTGAATCCCTCCTTTCAAATTCAGTTTCTAAAATACAACCATAAGTTTTAAAAAGAATATAAACCAAATATACTTATGAAATATTCCAATTTCCACATATAGAACTAACCAGATTCCAAGTCAATTAATAAAAGGTTCATTGGAACAAATCTCTAAGTGGTACTTCAGAATTGGAATAGGTTTACGCATCTAAAAAAACTAACCAGACTTAGAGATTACTTATTGCATGTTAAAACAGTAGTACACTTGCAAAAGAAATTCAACATGTCCTACCATTCACCTCAGAAAAGAAAATAAAGAGAATGCAATCAAAACAAATATGTTGAGATACAACCATAAGCATGCTAATCCTTCTGCTAAAGGCCTTATCAAAGGTACTTGTAGGCAACATAGGAGTAAAAAGAAAATCTAATGCTAAAAGCCAGAAATAGGACGTATCTGATGAAGGAAAGAAGAAATTGACCTTCTTATCTAGTCGCCAGTTAGTTGGGTGCCTCCAACAATTGCTCTCCCTGGTTTGTCCTTCAAATGGATCACCGCATCCGGCCATGGGGAGCATTTATCATGTGATGCCATCGTACAACATAGACATCGCCATTGTAATCTTTGTCTGCAAATGAAGCATACCTATTCATCGAAAAAGCCAAGTATATAAGCAAACTGAAAGTAATAACCATGAGCATGTTTCAGAAAAGACATCTGCAATCCTCACATATATCACAATCATCTAGGAGAAAATAAGTCATAATAACAAAAATAAGAGGTCAGAACTTGAAACTTTTCAGATATCTGGTCAAAACCAGGTGACTTTAATTTCTGCAAAGGATATCTCAAATTATATCTTTACCAAGACATCTGAGCAATAAGCCCAAATTATTATAGCATAAGATTATTTTAACCAGTGTTGTAAGAACAGAACTAGACCAGACAGTTGAAAGGAGAACAAGTAGACCATCTGATCCAGAATATACCATCCAACCAAAAACCTTTGAACCGGCTAAGAACCAGAAACTGGCAAAATTTTAGTAAAAAACGGAAAATTATTTTTAACTTATTTTTTAAATTTCTTTTTATGAAAAGATTATTGAATCTGATGAGATTTGGACATTTAATCCTTTTAACCTATATTAAAATTGATACCATTTTAGAAAATACAGGTTTTTATTAAATATTTTTTAAATACTTATTTATTCTTAAAATTACATATTTAAAATTTGAATTAACATTTTAATTAGAACAGTTCAATGATTTGACCTCCATTCCATTTTTTAAAAATATTGATTTTAACATCATAAAATCTAGAATGTAGGAAGGAAAGTACTCATTCAAAAGAACTTGACATCCTGAGTAGTTACCATGTTATTATGTTTACAATAAGGCATACCGATCACCACTAAGGAACAAAGAAACAGGCAGACTTTTATCAAACAACAATAACATAGATAAATACTAATAAGACAGATGTAAAGAAGGCAAATGCACAGAACCAAAAGCTAAACCATCAAATAAAAAAGGTTGTATCAGTACTCCCTTCCTGGCAAAAAAAACTATAATTTGCAAATGCACAAACCAATGTATGTGTATATTTAGGAATATCTACCCATCATCCTTTTTTCCCTTCTCTGCTATGCAAATGACCAACCAAAGAAAAAGAACAAGAATGCAAAAAGTAAATTAGTAGATGTGGATATTACATGTTGTGGACACTGAAATTTTTTTGGATTAGACATCCTACGATTTTCTTCGGCACATGTTTTGTGATAAACTCCTTGACAACCACGAACTGTACATAAGACCTCCTCCCCGGGGTAGATATGCTTATGGCAATCAAGACATTCAACCTGAGATTAATTTCAAAATGAAAAGAAAGAAGTAAACAAATAGTCAAATATCAACCAGCTTATTACAATCTTAAGGATATTAGATTGACAATACGAAAAAATATGTATGGCAACACATTAAAGCACAATCATCATTTGTGAAAATGTGTTTTTTTTTGGGGGGGGGGGAGTGTGAATGGTTAAGACACTTAAAATTACAGCAATATCTTAAAACTAGATTTTGTATACTAATTATTTCAATTAAATAAAAAACATAAACAAAACAATCCCAAATTGACACAATTTTCTAAGGAATCAACGTGACCTGTGTAATTGAACTGCCTATTTCTCCAAGCAATAAAATGCAAATACAAGAATAACTTATTTTCTTCAAACATTAATTGGTTCATGTATCTTAATACATTTGCACCGTTTAAAATCTTCATCATTTCTACTTAATTGCTTTCAGTCATTTTCAATACAACAGTTGATTATCAAGAAAAATAAATAAACAAAGAAGAAAGATTCGTACCAATCTCTTAGCCCCTACAATAAATGGAAGAAAATAGAAAGACTGAGGGAGACCAGATTCCATCTTCCTCTGAACCCAATCTCTCAAATAATCCTTCAGTACCTTACCATTAGACCCCTTCTTCACTTTCTTCAAGACCTTAATTCCATTACTATTGCAGGCCACGCGTTTTTGGACCAAACTCTGGTCCCACTTGCAGTTGACAGCTATGGTTTTGAGAGTGGCAGTGTCAAAAGCTTCGAGAGAATCGGCAGAGTCAACAGAAAGAGGCCTCAAGTTAGGGCAATGAGATAGAGAGAGAGATGAAGACTGAGAAAGATGTCCAAGGTCCGGCATTTTTCAGTAAAAATAGTATTTTTTAAAAATGCAGGAAAATGAAGGCCCTATATTTTTATGATGGGGGGAGAAAGGGGGAAATTAAAATTTGGGCGGGAAAATAATTTAGGAAAGGGTGGGAAATAATGAAATGGGAAAAACAGTACCGAAGGCGGAAGGGAGAAATGGATTTACGAGACTGCCAAATTTGGTATATTTATAAACAAAATTTAATATATTTTATAAACTAAATATTTCAGAATTAAAATTAAATTTTCTTAACAATGTCAACTATTATTTTAAACAATTTTAAATTCCTATTTTATTCTAAAATAAAAGTATTTTTTTCTAATTTGCTCTACATCTTAAGAATTTATTCGACAAACTAAATGGCAATATTTCTACTATAATTTATTTCATGAAAATCTCAGTGAAATTTTTATTAGATATGTTATAAATCTACTCCATGAAATTACATAACATACATTATTTAATTGATAAAATTACTATCAAAATTACTTTCGGTAATTAACGCCAAATGAATATCCATTTCCGCCATTTCTTCGGAGTCAATCCTTTAACAGTTGGAAAACATCGATTATCTCATTCATGATTCATATAGATAACGGGTACAATTTTGTTGATTCTGCATCGTATCTGCTCTAATTGGAGTGGGGATGAATATAATTTTAGTAGGTAGTGGGCGGGTATGGATTTATAAAGTGGTACTAGTAGCGGGTAGTGGGCGGGTAATGGATTTGAGACCTTACCTGCCCCGCTTCCGTCCCGCATCCGCCCGCCCCACATCCGCCTGCCCAGCTAAATATCTATTAAATTTTGGACCATTATGAATTTAGGTGTAATTTTAGAGACTAATTTATAAATCCTAATATTGTATAAGATATAACTTGTAATTTAATCAAATATTAGGGATAAGTTTCTGCATAATTTTTTTTCTTTCAAACCTCTCGTTACTGCACCGATCTTTCAAACATCTGGTCTCCACTCTCTAGCTTATTCAGATACGTTTCTTCCTTTTTTACTTGAAATTTAATTTTTGTATGAGCCATTTCCGTAGTCATTCAATTTTAAGCTCCTCTGCATTTCGTTTTAAGAATTTAATTTTTTTTTGTTTGTACTGATTTTTAATTATTTTTTATATTCATCTCAATGTTTGTTTTAAGCTTAATTTCTGAATGTTCTGCAAATCAGTATCTTGTGACTGAGCACCCACGTTTTAGGCCAACAAAGTCAGATCGTTGTTTCTTAAACCTCCATTTTTAACGCCACTAAATAGAATTAAGCCCCATACTAAATTGTTACCGATCGTTGGTCTGAGCTTGAAGTACGAAACAGTACATACATATATGATGCATCCCCTATTTCCATATTTGGTTGAAACCATCATGCATTTATTGAAGAATCATTATTGTTGCTGTCTTTTTGTCTGTTTGTGGTTGTGTGATTAATGTGTTTTATGTATCTTATATAACATGTTTTATTGTAATTGTAATTACAAAATACATAATGATATAAAAAAGTGAACAACACAATACTACAACCACCTCATCACCATCAATCTCAAAGCTAACCATTACAGCAAGTTCTACCCAACTTCTGACTGCGGTGACAGAAGTCCAAATTAAACCGATGATGCAGATCCTATGGTCCTTCCCTTAACTTCGAGGCATACATCAACAACTTGGACTCACTTTACAAGAGAATGAGTTGGGAAGGAAATAAAAGCTGAATGTAACTACTGCAATAAGCAACTTACTGGAGGACCAAGAACGGGGACAAGTCGCTTAACCGAGCATGCAAATAAATGTGTCAAAAGAAAATGCTTAGATATTCGACAAACAAGGCTACTTGAAACATAAGCTAAAGATGGTGGTTCGAATGACACTCTTTTTTTGGCACCATATGAATTCCACCAAGATAAAGAGAGAAAAGACTTGACAGGAATGATCATTTTGCATGAATACCCTATCACCATTGTTGAGCATTATGGCTTTATGAAGTACTCCAATACACTTCAACCAGACTTTAAAGTTCCGTGTCATAATACAACCAAGAAAGATATCATGCAAAGATATGAGACTGCAAAAAAGGCATAAGTGCATTGTTGAGCAAAACAAATAATAGGATCGTCTTGACCACTGACATACGGGTCTAGCCGAGTACGTATCCAGTGGGTAGTGGGTGTGGGGATGGATTTGAGAATGTACCCACTTGGGCAGGTGTGAATTTAAAATTTTTTACCCATCATGGGTGGTAGATTGAAAAATATTAGGTGGATTGAAAAATATTAGGTAGATATGGGGATGGGAAAGGGGGTATCCGCACCCGACCCGCCCGTTTGCCATCCCTAGATAACATTTAATTTTGACTGAACTCGCAAATAATTTCCTTTTTCTTTTTGATAGTAAGAGAAATGCTAACTAAACTACCCTACACGATCAGCTCCATGTGTGGATAGCTTTCCCCTTCGAATGCTCCTCCCACGGTGGTTCATCAAAGTACTGGATGCCGGCCGGCAGTTTCCAAGCCAGTTTTGCCATCGTGTCTGCAATCCTTTTCTTCTCTATCCGCCCATGCTGCAATTGGATCGTCCCAATTCCGTTGCAGAAGCTTTCCTCTGTGCCGCAAAATAGTAAAGGTTGCACCAGCTAAATCCCCTTCCTTCAACAGTTTAGTAGCTCTTGAGAGAGATTGGGACTACAAAAGAGCAAGAGTATTTCATATTGGCATCATTGAGTAAAATACCAACAGTTACAGAGCCCTATGTGAAGATAAGCACTTGTTCATGACCAAAATTCAGCTGCACCAGAAAGATTCACTTCAGCTGAAGAGAGGCAGCCTACTTGTATCCTTCCTGTTGTTTGCATACTTTCGATCTTATGTTTTTCTCAATAGCTTGAGATATGCGAAATCCATCTTAAAATAACATCTTCAATCCATGACTAGTTTCCTTGTTCACCAACAAGGAATACCAAACTATCAGATATTGAAACAATTACATTGTACAATTTCATATATCTAAGCTTCAAAGTATCTGCACATGGAATCTCTGGCTATAAATAAGTGAAAACAAATGCTAACCTACTGCATGCAAAAGTCATTAATTAGTTCGAGAAACTTATTGAAATACCTCAATCACAGCCATGGAAGAACAAACCTATTTGCTGCAGCAAGTGCAACAGTATGAAAGTTGATACCTCCTCTTATGCATCTAAATCAATTCCAAACATTTAGTTCAGCAATGCCTCAGGTACCCCACCTTCAAGCCTTGTCCTGATCCCAGATATGTAAGAAATGTCTCACTTTTTTGGCTCCATAAAAGTAGAGTTCACTTGCACCTTAAACAAAGGAATGCATACAATACAAATATATAACTGTGTATATACCAGTTCATTACCGATGAATCGATCTAAAAAGGGAAACAAGATTCTTACATTCATGTGTCGATGTATTCTCCTCTTTCTTGAGGTAAAACTACATGGTATCAAGAAGCTATCACCATAAAGGTCTCAGTCATAAACCCTTTCGCATCATCAATTATCCGGACACCCTTTCTATTGTTGTTCATCATAACTTTACCAATAGAACAATGTGAAACAAATCATTTCAAATATCCTAAACGTGTTCGCAATGTTTAATTGGAAAAAGTAGAAAGGTGACTGAAAATGCAGCTAGGTTAATTTGTCATATATGCAAGGGCTCAAAATTTGGGCGACTTGTGTACTCAGACATAACTAGTAAGAGAAAGGAAGCTAAATTTGTTGTCTTTCAATAAAATAAAACTTGATCAAAGTGCCAAATTCTCGGCTGATTATTATTTGCAATTGCCATAACATATTGATCGAATCCAAGGTAAAACTTACAATTAATCAGAAACACGAGCACCCTTGCGGAAATCATGTCAATAACCAAAATCACACAGCAAGTGACAAAAACAGAAAGAATCTCGAATCAATGATGTATCTGATAACAATCTAAATGAGGATTGCATTCTTCTGAGTAGAAATGATTCTTCTCAATCAAAGTTCTAAGCATCTCATGACTGAAAGTTGGATCATTGGGGTCGCTGGGTTTGGACTCATCAGCTGATTTCAAAGTACGGGGTCGCGTGCAACAAAAGCCGCCACAAGAGCCACCACTGGAAACAACCCTTTTACCCAAAGAAGAAGACGAAGACGGGCTCGCTCTGGTCTTTGTTCGTTTCTTCCGCCTAAACTTTGTAAATGGAAACAGGAGAATCTGCTTTAACTGTACCCCCATGAAATCCCTTTTACAAGTACGCCCATCAAAATCGATTCTTCGAGAGTTGGACACCGATCACAGCCGTCGTCATCGTCACCAACTCCGGCACTTCGGGGTAAAGCTATAAAAAAACGTAATCACTTCACGGGATATGAGGGGCGAGGGAACAGATATCAAAGCGGTAGTCCAACAGGGGAATAAGAGAGAAATCCGTATAAGCAACATCCATGGAAGCCTATTGACCTTACGATGAAATTATAATTTAAAAAAAGTGATTTGAATTTCGTAATTCAGATGAAAAACCTGAGATCGCATAAAATGGATTTTGACCTTTCGAAAACGAAAGGAACGAACGGGTTTCTTCACCAGACACTGTTTTGTCAATGGGATTTGCTTGCCTAACGGTGTGTAGTTCCGTAAGAGAGTCACCGACAAATTAAAAGCCTTCATAATTTTACGAACGAACCACTACTGACTGCGTTTGGCATGTTCTAAATGAGATTTTTAAAAAATCTGGAAAATATAATATTATAAGTTATTAATCTTATAATAATATCAAAATCAACTAATTCTTCTTTTCTAGGGAACACATTAACTAATTGTTCTTTTTTAGGGAATATATCATCAACTAATTCTTAATAATAGAATATTGTGATAATTTTATTAATAATATTTTAATCCAATTTGTTAAGCTCTTCTGTTTCTTGAACATATATATATATATATATATATATATATATATATATATATATATATATATCAAACACCATTTCAACTGCATGTTATTATTTTTAAGGGTAAAGTATATAATGATGCATTGAATATAGAGTTTATTTTATTGCTCATAACTATTAAAAGTTATAAAATTGTTTTTGATTATAGGACGTCATTTTGTTGAGTACTCATATTATTAAAAGTTATAAAATACCAAATGAAACATATATTTATATATAAAAAAGATTATTTAATAGTTTTTTTTATTAATTCATAGTAAGTACAAGGACAATATATGTTCAAAGATAGCTCTCGGTCATTTGACGTTGAATGCTCACATCCCTAATATTCATGGTGCTCGAACCCTAGACATCAAGAAACAACAACAATTCTTTTACCACCGAAATTGTTTGGTTCGTGCTAATAATTAAATATATGTAAAATGACAAGAAAATTGTATATAAATCTATTAATAGTATGCTTGACCATAAAATTATAATTTTTAATTTTTATTTAAATATTATATATATGAAAATATAAAAAATATTATTATAATATTTTCATTTGTTTTAAATAAAATTATAAGATAGTTTTTATTTTTTTTAATCAAATATGTACAATTTTTTACATAATATTTTTTAATCATGGAAAATGTTAAGATTGAAAAAAATCATCCAGGTGATCTACCATTAAACAAAGACATATTATAAAAAAAATAATCTTTTAAGAGGCTATTTCAAGTAAGCGCACTTTTATTAAATTATTTTCATTTCGACGAATGATGTTGTTTTGATACTATTTAAGTAAAAAAGAAAAGGAAATATATTATTTTAATAAATTAATCATAATCATTTATATACATAGTCACTTAACTTAAAAAGTTTGATTTATCACCCAACTTTTGAACATCATTAGAATTTACAATCAAGTAAACTAAATCCTCGAAAATTTTATTAAAAAATTAGATTTTCAAAATTCCTTTGATTTATCAATATCATAATATTTTCTTCTATATTCGAATGTTGGAGAAATCGGGAAAGATAAAAAATAATTTAGATTGATTCTGCAATAATTATACGATGAGAATGGTCGATTATACTAATATAATGTCAAAACTTTAATTTGAGTTTTATCGATTTTAAGGGGAAAAACGAGAAGAAGAAAAGTGGAGCATTTTAGTATCAACTGCGTTACAAATCTTAAATGAGGAATGATATCGATTATGTGAAGAAAAAAAATGTAATATTAGATTAATTTCATAAATAAAATGATCTAGAATGCAATATATTGTTATTTTCGTTATACAGTTAAAGATATAGTGATAAAAAAAAATTAAATGTTGGGTGATACAAAATTAAAACCGAGTAATTAAAAGTTAAAACAGAAACATGGTAAACGTTTAAATGTTAAATACATAATTTACCTTACAAACAAACTTTAATAAAATGCTTTTACTTGTTATTGAAGTGAATAAAATGCTTTTAGTTTCAAAGGCCAAATAGACATGCACTAAAAACGCATCTCTTGCAAAAGTACAAATTCCCCGTTGCCCAACTTAAACACCATTCATAGTTAGCCTCTAAACCCTAACCCAAAAAGCAAAAGTAAAGATATGGAAGAAGACGGCACCAAGGCTGCTGAGCTATTCAGCCGAGGCTACTCCTTCACCTACGACGACGTTATCTTTCACCCTCACTACATCGACTTCCCCACCGATGCCGTCTCTTTGTCCACCCACCTTTCCCGTAATATTCGTCTTTCCATCCCCTGCGTCGCCTCCCCTATGGACACTGTTTCCGAAGCTCACATGGCTGCTTCAATGGCTGCCCTTGGCGGTATCGCAATTGTTCACTCCAACTGTACTCCTTCTCAACAAGCTTCCATCATCCGTGCTGCTAAGTCTCTTCGTGTTCCTATAACTCCTTCAGTTTCCTTTGTCTCTCCTGCTGATGCTCTTCCCGCTTCGTACGGACGATACGTTTTTATTACCGAATCAGGTAATTTACAAGCTACTTAAAATCCTTGCTTCTGGATTAGCCATTTTATGTTTTTTAAATATATGATTTTTTTTCGAACAGATGGTCTACCATCCAAGCTGTTGGGTTATCTCTCGTCATCTGATTGTGACAACCTGAGAGATAAACCAGGGAAACTCATTGATTACAAGCGGGATTGTAGGACTGTGGAGTATGTTCCTTGGAATTATGATTTGGGAAAGATAGAGGGGATTTTAGAGGAAAAGAAACGTGATTTCGTGGCGTTGGAGAGGGATGGTGAGGTCGTTAATGTGGTGATGAAAGAGGACGTGGAGAGGCTGAAGGGGTACCCGAAATTAAGGGCGGGAACAGTTGGGGCTGATGGAGAATGGATGGTGGGTGCTGCAATAGGGACAAGACAGTCAGATAAGAAGAGGTTGGAGCACTTGGTGAAGGCAGGGGCCAATGTGATTGTTTTGGATAGCTCTCAGGGTAATTCTATATATCAGATTGAGATGATCAAGTTCATCAAAAAGACATATCCTCAGTTGGATGTAATTGGTGGGAATGTGGTGACTATGGCTCAAGCACATAATTTGATTCAGGCGGGTGTAGATGGATTAAGAGTTGGTATGGGGTCTGGATCCATTTGCACCACCCAAGAGGTTTGTGCTGTCGGACGGGGACAGGTAAAAAAGAACTTTTATTTCATTCGTTTTTGACAACTTTGCTCGAGTTCTGCTGTACACTTCGATAACTTTGCACAATCTCTGCTGTTTGAATGGTCTCCGTTTTCAGATTTATGTTGTAGTTGATTTCAAGTATGCGAAACATTGGAGATTTGTTAGGTGCTTGTAGTGCACATTGATATAACTGCCTATATCATCTTATGCACAAAATAATAGCATTTTAAATCGTTAAAAAAACTAATTGAAGATATCATTTTTATTATACTATTTCTTTAATTTTATGTTACAAATTTAAATACTTTTTGGTATCTCTTAGGCTACAGCCGTTTACAAGGTGTCATTAATTGCGGCACAGCATGGTGTGCCTGTCATTGCCGATGGTGGCATTTCCAACTCTGGACATATTGTCAAGGCTTTGGCTTTGGGGGCATCTACTGTGATGATGGGAAGTTTTTTAGCTGGAAGCACCGAATCTCCTGGAGCCTATGAGTATAAGGTATGGCTCTGTTTTTGCTTTCTGTAGCTTTAGCCACTATCATATCAATTGAGGTGCCAACTAGACACACAACACGGATCTAAATAATCCCAAAACTCTTATAATCCAAATCGATTGAATTTATTCTATATACAATTAAGAAATAAAGTCATTGTAACTTGTAGATCAAGTTAATTAACTGAAGTTGTAAAGATGATTTGATATACTTTTAGTCTGTACAGTCTGCATGTTCTTTAATTTGGGATTATTTAGATCTTAGAATCTGCGCACACCATAGAGTTAATTTCTTACAGTGAAAGGTTGAAATCAGTATTGCAAAAGTAAATATACAATGTTTGCCTAAAAACACGGATTTGAATTTGGAGTCATTTGTTATGTGTAGATTTTCTTCTACCTTTGATTTTGAAGGTTTTTAATTTTCATGTTCCAATAGGAATTTCTGTGATTTTTCTGCTATACAGACACAAAGATACGTGCACTTTACATTTAATTATATAAATCTTTTTGTTCAAATTCTCATGTTTTGTATTACTAGAATGGTCAACGAGTCAAAAAATATCGTGGCATGGGCTCTCTAGAAGCAATGACCAAAGGAAGCGATCAAAGATATTTGGGCGATACCGCTAAGTTGAAGATCGCGCAAGGGGTTGTTGGAGCAGTTGCAGATAAGGGTTCTGTACTAAAATTTATACCTTACGCGATGCAAGCAGTAAAGCAAGGATTCCAAGATCTCGGTGCTTCCTCCTTACCATCTGCACATGAGCTCTTAAAATCAGGCACACTGAGGCTTGAGGTATGATTCGCCGACACACGTTGCTATTCTAACTTGGTTATAAACATAATGTGGAAAAGTTTCTTGGCCCGTCACTGATTCAACCCCTTAAAAATGTTGATATTTTTTTTCTCTCTCCCTGCTTGTAATTGATTGTTGTTGCTGTTGTGTTATTATGAAACCGGAACAGGTTCGGACTGGTGCCGCGCAAGCTGAAGGTGGAATACATGGTCTGGTTTCGTACGAGAAAAAATCATTTTGAGATTTTTCATTGTTTTTGTTGTTAAAGACATTTTGGTTTCGTATAAGAAATAGTTGGGGATGTTTATGCGTATGATTAACTTTTTGTTAGAAATGTCAAGTTTAGAACCAAACCAAATCTCTATACTGCATTCGAATTTAGAAATGCTTTTAGTCTACCCGTTATAATTTGACTAACGTTCTAAAACTATCACGTTAACGAAAGAGGCTACTCAAATGCAAACAATGTAAAAGCAAAATCTTATATATTTTATTTTGAGTATGTTTTTTAAAGGTCAAATAATGTACTCTATTTTTTATGTAGATGTTTATACTAGGAATTTATAAGTGGAAAAATAAGTAAAGCTAGACTAACGTATAAATAATACATGTTAAAGCAAGTACTTGTATATTTTGTTTTGAGTATGTTTGTTTAAAGGTCAAATAATTCTCTCTATTTAGTATTGAAATAATTTCATAAATATTTATTTTAAGAATTTATAAACGAAAAAATAATTAAAATGGGATTAACGTAAAAATAAGATGTTGTAAAAGATAAAATTTAGTGTGGTGCAAATAAAAAAATAAAGGGTCTTTTGAGTGCTTTTATTTTGGTTATTAAAATAAAGAATGTTCATTTGGATCACATGATACGTTAAAGTTTTTTAAAATTTTCATTGCTTCTCGTTTTATCATTGTTTTTATTGTCGCTCGTGATTTATCTATTGAAAAAATGATTGAACTGTTTATTTTCTTATTCTTTTTATTTCATTCAATTCAAATTAATCAAAATTATCTTTTGATCTCTTCAAATTTTAATAAAACCGAAAAGATTTTTTTTGATTCATCACTATCGACCTTCGTATTAATTTGAAACTGATTTATATTAATCCTATGATCAAATGAAACATTTTAATCATTAAGATTAACTGAATATCACTTTATTAATAAAAAAAACTTAACATTTATAGCTATCAATTTAGAATCTTAAAATTTTTTTAAGAAGAATTTTAACGTGTTATGTCTTGTTAGCCGCAGTGATTGTGATAATATAAATTAACAATTTAATAACTATAATGCAGGTTTTAAAAGTTTAGTACTAAATAAAAACGGTCTAAAAGTTCAGGATCATCCATGTAATTTACCCTAATAACAACGATGATGTAATTTCCTATTCAATAAAGAAGACATTGAAAAAGAGGAAAAAAATAGCCCAAAAATAAAAGCTAAACGGAGGGTTTGTTTTTCATCTGGAGTACCATCCTCACGTACGTTCTATTCTCTTCTTTGCTTCCCCGCAGAAGAGAGAGAAACCCTCACTTTTAATCTCTTTCTATCTCTAGACACCAATTCCTTTTCCTCTTTCATTTCTATCCTCTTCTTAACTTCTTTACATATAAAACCCTCTCTTTCTTAATTTTTCTTTTTTCATATATTCAGATTCAGCGTTTTTACATCTAGCTGAGTTTATTTTTTCTTTTGTTTCCTCTTTCATTTCTATGCTCTTCTTTACATATAAAACCTCTCTTTCTTAATTTTTCTTTTCTTCATATATTCAGATTCAACGGTTTTACATCTAGCTGAGTGTATTTCTTCTTTTGTTTTCTTGAGCGATCGATCGGTCGGCGGAGATTGGATCTCACGTGATAAGATCTCGTTATGCAGCAAGGTGATCAGACGGTGTTGAGTTTGAGACCTGGTGGTGGTCGAGGGAACAGACTTTTTGGTGGCCCTTCATCATCATCGTCGTCATCTTCGTCTTCATTAGCATTCGGTTCTTTTTCTTCTGATCTTCATGCCTTTCGTCCCCATGGCGGTGCTGCCCCCACGTTTTCTCTTAAGGTTCAATCTTTTTATCCATCCTCTTTTAGACACATTTCTCATTTTTTTTGGATCTAGATCTTTTGATTTATTCTTGGGGTCGTTATTTAGATTTCTGCTTTTAATTTAAGATTTATTTAAAAAAATTATTAGTGCAGTATCTGTTAGGTATTGCTCTTTTGAAGATTGAATCCTTATCAAGTGGGTTTAATTGTATTATTCTTATGGTTGATTATACTAATATCTCTGAAATAAGCATTGCTTATGTTTTTCCTCCGAAAAGGCTTTACATGTATCTATTTGTGATCTTAAATAGCAACCTAGTATTTGAGCAGTTGTTTTTCATATCGTCAAATTAAAGCACAGAGTTATGTATTGCATTAAAACTTCAAAAAAGGGAGAGTGATTTAGTTTTAATAGCAACCATGTAATAGCCGAATAAAGAATATATTGTTAGATATTACATTATATCTTTAAAGAGGAAGAATGTAGTTTGCTTTGTCCTAATTCTTTGGTACACTTAGTATGCGTACTTGATGTAAATATGGACAAAGAAAAATATTAAAGATCTACAAAAAAGCATTAATGATCTTACATGGTTTTAAACAAGTGGAGATGTTCCATTGATAAAAAATCCAACAATTTGTCCTAATTGTGATCATAAGGATGATATTTAGTGAAGTTAATGATTATATGCATACACATGTATATATATCATCTTAACCGGTGCCACTATACACTGGTTAAGGTTCCCCTATTTTTTATTGTTGCGACTTGCGAGTTAAAACTCTTTTGGTTTAACCGTTTGCCACTTGTCTGTATAAGTCTAAACAAAGAAGTTAACAGCACATTATTAAGTAAACACTCTTATGGAGTTTTTAAACTATACTTCTCGCGTGTAAGATAATAATTTGGAGTGCAAAAGGTTGGGTCTCGTGGTAACATCTTTATGATACAAAACCATCAGATTTCAACTGCCGTTCCCTATTCTTTGGTTTTTACTTGGATATGTTTAGCTTTTTTTTATGTTAGATAAGTTAAAATTTTTTATTAACATGTTAGGAATATGCCTTGTAATTTGCATTTTCTGTTGCCTGCTTTATTCTTTAGATCGTTAATTAAATGTCAACATGCTGCATATTGAAATACTTATGGGTTGTAGAATCTGAAGCTTTCAATTTCCTTACTGTTGTAGGCTGGAGACTCACGATTTGAGGGTCGTGAAGGTGTGCGGTATACTAGGGACCAGATTCTACAGCTTAGGGAGGTAATCATACAAAATTTTTGCTTAGTATTACATTTCATCTCTGTTTCAGTAAACTATTATTGCATTTTGCTTTCAAAATCAATCCAGAAAAGAAAAATCAGTGCTTTTTTTGTATGCAATTTGTTCAGTGTTGTTAGCATTCTGTTTGGACTATTTTGAATCGATCATGCAAATAAGTAGTTCAATGTTCATACTATATTTCATATTTTTTGTGTTGAAATCAAACAATAGCACTTTGATTATTGTTTGATTCTCTATCTGATTATGCTTCTTGCCTTCTCTTTAGGTTGTAGAAGTTGCTGAAGAGATTCTTAAAATCAAACGGGATATTGAAGTGGAAATCTTCGGTGAGGATCAAAACTGGGTTCGTGGAGAAAGCAATGTACACTCTAACTGCTTTTTTGCTTTTGCTTTTTTAATATCTAATAGCAATTAGCTTCTTTGGTGAAGTTATTGTATTTTCAAATAATTTTGTCAAGCAGTCATTCTTTGTTAACACTTGTTACTGCATTCTCTGTACTTTTGACAGCCACCAAATTATAGTCAGAAGCGTTACTCAGAGCCTGACAACCGTGATTGGTTTAGCCATTCAGCAAAGTCTTCTCCTGCTGGAGAGGAGAGGTCCTGGGAATCTCTTCGAGATAGAGATCTGGGAAATCGATTCGACTCCAGACAGCCAGAAGCTAACCAGTTTAATCGCCAAGATCAATCCAACTATCAGTTTCCAAGGGCACAAATCTCTTCTAATCAAGGGGTATCATAAAAAGATTCAAACTCTTTTGTCTATTTAAGGTTTCTTGCATCTTTGACCATTTATTGTCAGTGTTGAGTTGCTGTGTGAGTATTTGAAGCATCATGCAACATGTTTCTTAGTCAATAAAACTCCTTGAGATGTGTTTTAATGAGGCATTAATTCTTTAATATGTACTTCCACTCCAATTAAGGTCTTAACCTATATGTACATATATCAATCAGAGAGCAATGGTTCAATAAGTTGCACACACAATGATTTCTCTGAATTTTCTTAAAATTTGTTTGATATATAATGATGAATCCATTGTATATAGTAAGGAAGCATAAGTTGTTTGGCTCTAGTACCAATCCCGGTGATTATTTTTTCCATGATGATAACATACATGGAACTCTGTATTTCATGATGTCTTAATATTAGCTTTGTAATTATTCCTATTTATCCCTGCAGCAAGCTTTCTATGTCATTTGGCTTTGGCATTAACATTGGGTATACTTTGTTGTTCACAGGGAGGACCTGCTCCAGCTTTGGTCAAGGCTGAGGTGCCATGGTCGGCTAGAAGGGGAAATCTTTCTGAGAAAGACCGTGTTCTAAAAACTGTTAAAGGGTAAATATATTAGAATTATGTTTCTTGTATCAAATATTTGTTTCTGATATTTATCAACTAACAGTATAATCAGGTTTTTCTATGATATATAGGTTTCTAATCATATATGTATTTCTGATATCTACTCACGAACCACAAAAAAGACATTGCACTTGTTGATGTTATTCAGAATCTGGTTTTAGATTAGAACTTGGTAATTTTCAAAGCCTACCAAGTTCTTGGAGTTTAATGTCTTTTTGATGTGGTTGGTATTAGAAATATTTGTTTCATAAGCATCTGAATATCAGATGCTTTCGTGATGACAAAAATTGATGGTAGTAAAGATGCAAATGTATATTATCTGATTCCCTTGTTAACCATGATTTCCTTTTATGTACACTTGCCAAGTGATTTCATTTTTTCAAGTATGCATGATAGGAAGAGGCAATCCTTTCCTTTGTTTTTTTTCTGAATTTTTCTTTTTGCAGGATACTGAACAAGCTCACTCCAGAGAAGTATGATCTTCTAAAGGGCCAACTTATTGATTCCAGTATCACATCAGCGGATATCTTGAAGGTCATTATTTATTCATTTCTTTAAATATTACCAGACCTTTTTCTCTAGTTATTTTATGTATGCGAACATGTATATATCCAAACACATCTACATTTCACGTATGTTGTGTTCTTTTATAGTTACTGCGGGTTGT